ACCCTTTGGTTTGAAAGAATCCTGTCGATGTCGACATTGTCGTATTTTGTTGTATATTTGTCAGCAGCTACAACAGCAACCAGGAGAAGCAATAGTAACAGTTTCATTATGCTATTATTAAGCTATTGATGGTTGTCGTTTAACGTTTAAGGAACCCGTACACTTCACGGACACACGTCGTGTTATTAAATGAGGTCCTTATCGTCGTCTATAGTTTTATATATAGTCTCATTAGTAGCAGAGGGTTAAGGAAAGTGATAATGTCACGTGATCGTAATAGAAATGAAGTGGGCAAATCATGGGCAGTGCCAAAGACCGTTTCTCACCGTTTCTTACTAAACGTATTATTATGAGCCACGATGACCCACTTGTGGGAAAAACCGCATACAGTTAGTTGTAACACGCAGAGCTAAAAAGGCTAAAAAGCAAGAATGGACCGGTTCAGTTGATAACTGTTGAATTTACTACTCGTTAGACATTAGGTACTAAATTAAACGTGTGCCTTATTACCTACTTAATTGGTTAATTTAATTAAATAGGTGGAGATCTTATTAAACAGAGGAAGTTTCCATTTAAGTTTTACTACGTATTTAACCACTTTACTAAATTTATAATGATCCAAGAAACTGATGTTAATAGGTATAAGCGTATCACATGGAACACACGAATGTATGATTTTTTATATACGACTGCAAATCATGTGTGGTTGATGTTTGGAGAATTTGCTTTCAAATTAGATAATACTAATACATTGCACGTTTATACCAATGAATTTTAATCTCAACCTTTGACACTTTATAAAACAATTGCAAATATAAAGTTACAATCACAGTATTCCGTACGCATTCGAATGTTATTAGATCTGCCATGGTGGTCTCGGCTCATTTTCCTGTCGGTGCAACATCTTTTTTTTTTTTTAATTTTTATCTTTAATCTCAACATTCCCGAATTACTTTTATTTTCATATTCACATATGGCGCAGAACATTTTTTATGATATATCTTTCATTCCTTTGTATAACATAACAAATGCCAAAAACGTGTACGTTAAATTTCGATGTTCTCATGTTAATATTAGATATGTTATCAATACCTATATATAAGTGGTTTTTAATAATAATAATAATTCTAATGATTAGAACTTTATTTAGCATGTAGCTATACAAACTCACAAATGCAATTCAGATTTTATAAAGTAAACATGTTTCATCAATTTTGAATACTACCTATCTCGATTTTTAATTAACGGATATATAAATTAATGAAACTAACATAATATCCTAATTTGCGAAAACAGTAAGTAAACAGTAATAAATTTAGCTAAATAGAACAGTCTCAAACTGCAGATATATATTTCGTGATTAAGAATATTTTTCGAAGTTTACTCTAGAAAAGATTTAGATAGTTTTATTGAAAACTGTTTTATATGTATAAGATACTTTTCGTTTACTTTATACCTACAAATGAATTTTATAAATTAAACATTCTTATTAACCCTCTCCCTTTTTTAAGATTTCACTCATCCTTTTAGACCATCTTTTCCTTCCATTTGAATTTCCCGTTTTTTGAACCATTTCCTATTATTCCATATCTCATTTTTTTTGCTTATTAATGATTTCAGTTAAATTTTCCAGCTTTCTCCATACATTTCTATCTTTTTCAAGTTTACATCTGATTGTCCATCCTCTTTCCATTAAGAAACTTTTTCTTTCCTTTTTCCATCTTTCCCTTGCGATTTTCTTTTCCATGTTTTAAATATTCAATATATTACACATAACTATTATGCATCCTTTTGATATCATATTGTCTTCTGAAACTTCTTCCATTATTTTTCCTTCCCACTGAAATTCTGGAAGTTATTTTTTCTTCCTCCTAATTTTTTTCTTCCTAAAACTTTTGTCTAATCTGTATTTAATTCCATCCCTCTTTATTTTGTATTTCAATTTATTGAATAGAATACGAAAAAGAAAAGGTGAATCGCCAATGTATAGCGAAATCCCTTCTTTGCGTTAATGTAATGATTAAATATGATAAGTATTATTTATTTATAGGCAATTATATCCTTTATACATAAATCTGCTATAGTACTAAATTTAAAAAACATACATAAATTTCAGTACCTACTAAATTTAATTGTAATAGTTGTGCTTATGATTAGTAAATATTTATCATTAACATTACTCTTAGTGACAAGAAATAATTTTAGGTTTATTTAGAGATAAGTTTCTTTAAATGCACATAGTTATGCGCAATTAAGGGTACACCCCGAAATGAAAAAATTAAACTATATTTTGATTGGAAACGAGTGAATCATTTCGCAGTTGAAAAATTACAAGTAAAGTGTTCATAATAGCAAACATTAATGAATAAGAGCCATTTTTGAGTCACTCCAACTTAGATAAAAAAAGAATTATTTTAAAATAAATACTCATGTGTCCAGTTTTTTACCACAGCCTCGATACTTCGTAAATAAGTAAAATACTTACTATAAAAATTTCGCAAACGTTGATCTGAAAGCATTTTTTAAAGATTTACTACCATTTTTCTGAATTTCTGATTTTTTTCCAAATATGTAGTATACAAGAGAACAGATTAATAGTGACGATCAATATAAATAGAGACTATATGCATAACTGAACATGACAGCTTGGGTGTTGAAAAACGTTTTAGTTTATTTGCAAATAATTTAATTTTTTAACCGTTAAGGCAGCTTTTGTAAGAAACTCATTCGCAAGACCGTTTTTTCGTCGAATTAACGTTGCAATTCTTGGTTTATACGAGAAGCTCTTTTATATTAACGGAATAATATGCAGCTTGTGTACACTCTAAATGTTGGAGAAAGAACTTTTAAAATCGGATAAGTACCTACTTTCGGAGATTGCTTCCTGCTTCCATGCAACTTTACTACTATATACAACAACGTCAAACGCAAGAGGTCATGGAGCAAAAAAGATGAACCGGCTCAAACCATTTCCAAGGCCGATCTTCACCAAAAAAAGGTGACGCTGTCTGTTTGGTGGGATTTTAAAGGAATCGTTTATTTTGAGCTTTTACCGGATAACACAACGATTAATTCGGAAGTCTACTGTCATCAGCTGGACAAACTGAATGATGCACTTCAACAGAAAAGGTCAGAACTAATCAACAGGAAAGGTGTAGT